TTACACACTGCTTCACGTGTGCTCCTTCTCTTACACACTGCTTCACTTGTACAGCAGCTCATAGTTGAGTGTGGATGGAGAATGCGCAGTCCACGTGACAGACTCCTTCTGTCTAGCACTTCATAGGAAACATTTGCTAACATGTTTTGTGTTATGTACTATAAAAGAGCAAGGAGGGACTGGGAGATGGTTCTGTGAGGACAGTGAGAGCAGCCTGAATTTAGTTCCTGGACCTGTGTAAAACTAGTCATAGAGGCCCCCACTTGTAGTCCTGGAGCTGGGGAAGTGGAGACAGGAGGATTCCTGGAGCTTGCTCACTGGCTACGCCTTGTCTAATCGATGGGCACAAGGTTTAGTGAGATTGTCTTAAAAGATAAAATGGGGAGTGTAGAAGAGGAAACTTCACTCTGACTTCTGATGTTGGCAATATGTAAACATCTACACATGTGTACACCACACACACATGTACTCACACACACAGAGAGCGCACAGAACCTTTAATCTAGTTTAATACAGAAAATGAATTACAGCATGTATGTGTGTGGTGATGGACTATCTTACCCTAATCTGAAAGGACAGACCACTTCCAAGCTATTTGTAAATTCTATTCTCAAACTCTTTAAGAATACACAAATTAGTGTCAGTAGTAGAAAAAGGAAAACAATGTTGCTGTATAGTTGCCATTCTTTATCTATACTCTGAACCCCTTGATTTATTCATATGGACAAATCCAAGGCCTCAGGTTTCAGCTGGAAATTTTTGAGTGTATACCACTCTTGTTTTGTCTTTCACTTTTGTGTGTCAGTGGAGTAGGGCATGAGCATGCCACAGTGCACGCGTACATGGAGGTCAGGACAGCTTACAGGAGTCACTCTCCTGCTACCGTGTGTTTCTGGAAGATCAAACTCAGGTTCTCAGGTTTGGCAGCAGACTCCTTTGCCTGCTGAGCCATCTTGCTCAGCATAGCTCATACACACCTCCAATGAAGAGAGAGAAGAAAGACAGCGCAGCACCGACAGCGTTCTGTCTAAAGATTAATACTATAGAGTGTGCAGTGGGGAGTGGACCCAAGAGTCTGTATTTCAGTAGGTATTTGATAACTCCTTAAAATAGCTATAATTAAAAAAAATACTTTTATTCTTGGGTGTATAATTATAGATGTACTAAGTGAACTTGTTAAACCTACCATGATGGCCACAGCTATTGTATTTGGTTCACATTTTGGCTCTATTAACAATTTAAAATTGTACACTTTCTTTATTGGAGAATCTTGTCACATTCATGTTTCCTCCTCTTACATGCTAAGTATCTTCAGCCATCTGGAGTGAGTGAGTCACTAGAATACTGTTTGCACAGCTGCCACTTAGAGATGTGGCTTTAGTTTTAATGAGCCAGCATCTGCTTCAGGAAGAGCCCCAGACTGTTGCTTTTTAGTAATGAGCACACATTTTCACTTAGTGTCATGGTCCACTAGTCTGATCTACAATGATTGTGTCTGTTTTGTCTTTAATAGGAGCATGTGAAATGGGTTCATGCTGAAATGGTGAGTAGAAACTCCCAGTTAAAGCTGATATATGTGACTCCAGAGAAAATTGCAAAGAGCAAGATGTTCATGTCAAGACTAGAGAAAGCCTACGAAGCCGGAAGGCTGACTCGCATCGCAGTGGATGAAGTGCACTGTTGCAGTCAGTGGGGACATGATTTCAGGCCTGGTATGCACGTTTGCACTGGTTCTTGCTCAGTTCGGCATAGCACCTGCTCTGTTGAAATTCTCCCCTCTTGTAGTGGGTAGTCTGCAAATAAAACTGGGAGCCTGTGCTCACCTGTGTGCTGTTAAGGGTCTGATTTACTCATTCTCGAGGGTTCAGAGAGATAGACCATGTCATCTTTTTCAGATTATAAGGCACTCGGCATCTTGAAGCGCCAGTTTCCCAACACCTCACTGATTGGGCTGACCGCAACAGCAACCAACCATGTTTTGAAGGATGCACAGAAAATCCTGTGTGTGGATAAGTGTTTGACTTTCACAGCATCTTTCAATCGGCCAAATCTTTATTATGAGGTATACAAAGGCTACACTTCTTCATTGTGCTTTCTTCCATGATGACAGTATAAGCATTTTCATTTCAAGAAGTAATTAGGACATTCGTTGGTGCTTTAGTGTATCTGTGTCTTATGCAGCGTAATTCACATTAGGCCAAACAGAAAATAATACTGCATTAAGTGATACTGTCTTTTATAAACAGTTTGAGCAATTAAGGGAATATTTGTTAGATTCTTTCTTGTAAAATGCTTGAGAGCCCTACTGACATCCGTGTAACTAAATAATAGAAACATACATACATACTAATGAGTTCGCCAGTATTTCCCATGTGGATTTTATCTGATACTTATGCATGAAGGTAAGATATCCCAGTGGCTTTCTGATTATTTTCAAGTTGTGTTAAGGACAGATTTTCTGTTTGAATTTTCATTGCTTTCATACTATGCTTCATGTTTTTATTAAAGCATCAGACAATAGAACAGCATCCATCTTCACAAGTTACCTGCTGTTCCTATGCTTCCTCATCTCTGACAGACCAGGGACTGAAAATGAAGGAGAGAGGCTGGGCAGAGGCAGGAATGGGTCAGACGGGTGCGTCCCTTGAGGCCAGGAAGGGATACTTACCGTGAGGGACTCACACCTCAGAAGCTGTAAGCAGGCACAACTTGGGTGGCACTGGTGAATCCACTTCTTAATGAGACTGCTTTTCGTAGGTTCGGCAAAAGCCTTCGAATGCCGATGACTTTATTGAGGACATTGTAAAGCTCATTAATGGACGGTACAAAGGGCAGTCAGGTAATGTTAAAAACCAATCAACTTGGGGGCTGAGAGTCCGTTTATGAAATGGCATGAATTAGTGATGTGTGACTGATACCTGAAAATGAGATCCAATCCATTCATTTGGTCACTAGCTGTGCATGGCATTCCTGCCACAGTGGGAGTCAAAGCTGGCTGCCTTGCCTGGTGTGGAGTAGGTCCAGGGACAGTATTGTTGACATGTTAGTATCTGTCCTGTACCTTCCTGAGTGAGCAGCAATGTTCTGAAGAGAGAGAAGACACAGTACTTTGTAGGAAGGGCCATGTATATACTTTACCAGGTAAAGCAAGGTGAAGTTAGGAACATCTCTCCTGAATCTCAGGGCGAAGGACTACAGCGGTGACACCGAAGCCTCGCGGCCCTTCAGCACTGTCCTCTGGTTAGGAGAGAGTTATGGTGTCTGGGGAAAGGAGTTCCTGAGTCAAGTCTGAGAGATGCTGCAGCTGTCTGTCCCTCTCAGAGGGCCTGGCTACACACGGGGGAGGGTGTGCCTACACACGGGGGACTGTTACCCCCGCCTCTAGATGCAAAAGCTGCTTTAGCCAAATCAGCAGATTCTTCAAACTCATGTTTCCCAGCATCTCACAGAGTTTGCGCCAGTTTAAGAAGTGCTGTGTAGTGGGGATAAAGTTGCAGAGACACCCTCTTTTGGCCATAGGAACTCCAGCTGGTGGTTCAAGATTCATTTCTACTTAAGGCAAGCTGGATATCAAACCTTGATTATACCCAACAGTCAGTATGTGCACAGGAGCTTGGGGCCTTTGTGACTCATTTCCCATTCTGCCTTGGGACAAATCAGTGTGCTGAGCATGGTCCAGATTAACTAGGAATGTGCTGTGCATATGAACCTAATACTCGGCCATGTTTTACTGCAGGAATCATATACTGTTTTTCTCAGAAAGACTCTGAACAAGTTACCATTAGTTTACAAAAATTGGGAATTCATGCAGGCACTTACCATGCCAATATGGAACCTGAAGATAAGACCAAGGTTCATACTCGGTGGTCAGCCAATGAACTTCAGGTTAAGTATATGTGTTTTCTATGAAAGCCTAATTTACCTTTAACAATATTTAAATGACTCAATTAACTAACCAAGTATTATCACATTTTAGGTGGTAGTGGCTACAGTCGCATTTGGCATGGGAATTGATAAGCCAGATGTTAGGTTCGTCATCCATCATTCAATGAGCAAATCCATGGAGAATTACTACCAAGAGAGTGGCCGTGCTGGTATGTAAGGCTCCAATCCAGAAATAATCTCAGGAGAGTTGGCAGAGGACATGCTTGAGAATTCTGGGTTTTCAATGCTTGTTTTTAGGTAGTAATTTTTAGAACGAGTTTTTTAAAATCCAGGTTTATACTTATATACATTCTGTTGGAATATTAAAAATGGTTTATTATGTATTGTAAGCTATTATGATGTTCATGTCTACCACTTCGAGTTTTAATTAGTAGGTCCACTGTACAACCTAAATAACTGAACTGTTCGTGAACATTCGTTTTTCTATATTAATAAGCTGATTTTTGTTGATCCTCTTTGTAGTCATTTAACAGGTAGTCATGTAACCCTCAGGGTAGCTCTTACAGGTATCTCAAAATGTCTAGCTGTATTGTGAAGCTCTGTCAGCCAACTGACGTATACTTTGCATGTTACGGATCTTTGAAAGCAATGATGCAAACTGAGGATTCCTCAAAGCACAGGTCGCGATGACTCGAGAGCAGACTGTATTCTGTATTACGGCTTTGGAGACATATTCAGGATCAGCTCGATGGTGGTCATGGAGAATGTAGGGCAGCAGAAGTTGTACGAGATGGTGTCATACTGCCAGAATATAAGCAAGTGAGCCACGTGCCTTCCTGTATGTAGCATGTCATATGTCGTGTGGTTGTCGAGTACCTACTGCTGTTAGCATAGAACACTGTAAAGGCAGAGCCTACTGTGCTGGACCCCTGACTGCTCTCCTCTAAGAAAAGAGGCTCTGTCAGCTTTTGAGATCCTCCTCAAGGCCAGTCTACTGAAGGCTATGAAGGAAGAGTTTTTCCTTTGGATATGGTGTGTAGTTGCCTATAGAGATTATGGAAAAGTGTGTGGAAAGATAGGCTTTGGGGAGGTAAGTTCAGGCATGTCCATTCACCCTGGTGATGAGTCACTGAATAATCCAGGGTGGGGTCCAGTTTCTCATTAGGAAATACATGGCAGTTTCTGCTTAGCACTCAGCTTCCTTGGGGCCCCAGGGCCGTGAACATCCTGTGTCTTAATACTTGTCACAAAAGAGCTCAAAAGTGTCCAAGTAAACAGTGACCTGCCAGTGATAAAAACCACATTTGCTTTCCAACTGATGCTGCGGTGGTCACAGGGAAGGAGAAAGTGAGAATTTCTATGTCATAGGAGACTCCTATGAAGACTGTTTTCAGATTTAGCCTAAAATATAAGAAACTACTTCATTATCAAAACATTCTCCTCAAAGTGAGACCGGTAACCTCTGAAGTGATGGTTGTCAGCATACTGCTGGGAAAGTAGGAGTCACCTGAGACTCCCTGGGTGGGTCCTTAAGGGGCACAGAGAGGTCAGTTGTGATGGGAGAAGCCTCAGCCCACAGTTGATGGCTCTGAAGCAGAAGGAACCAGGAACCAAGGAATGTGGGCAAGCTCTAGACAGTGTTAAAGGCTCAGAGGTTAGGGCTTCCAGAAGCATCCAGTCTGCCCCCACTTGGACTTTGACCCTGTGAGACCTTTTTATACAAAGGTGAGATAACATACTTGCATTGCCCTGGCCACCACATCTGGGGTTGTGACAGCAGGGGACAGCCAGCAGGACACACGCTCTTCTGAAGCAGGTCCTGAAAGCTGGATTGCATGAGTGATTCTCCGTCTCGTGTCTGCAGGTGCCGTCGTGTGTTGATTGCACAACATTTCGATGAAGTGTGGAATGCAGACGCCTGTAACAAAATGTGTGACAGCTGCTGCAGAGACATTTGTAAGCTTGCTATTTACTTAGAGTCTTAGAGGCTCAGTGCAGTGCGCGCTGCATGTGGGAAGGGTTAGACCCTCCAAATAGAATTAAAAGACAAACTATGACTAGAATTTTCCAGATTCAAAAATGATACAAATGTAAGTCAAATGTGTATGTACACATTTTATATTACTATACTGAGGGCATCAAGGTTTTTAAGAAATAAGGAAAAATTAGAATTCCTCTACATAGAAATACTGTAATATAAGAAAAGGCTACTGTCATGAGAGTCTGTGGTACTGCATAGTCTCTGTTCTTGATACAATACATACAGGAACTTGTGTCCCGGTGCTGTATTCTTGAAAAGCTGAACCTAGCAGTTCTCATGGGAGGACCCTGGGTTCTGGTGCTTCATTGGGTGGAGTTCTCTGCACTTTTAACTTGACGGCTACAGACACTAATTTGCCAGTTAACAAGACTGTCTTATAGAGGCCAAACTCATGTGAACCCTATGTGTAAGTTAGGATGCTAGTCTAGTATTTGAGGACTTCTATCCAGCCTGGATTGGAGCCCAGACTGGCTTTCAGAGTGTGGTGTAATTGCAGCATCAGGTAAGAGTGTAAAGAGCATCATTTCTCCCACTGATGTCTGGAGCATACTGCAGCTTTTGACAGCAGGTCAACTTTACATTGCCATGATCTCTACATGGCTTTCAAGAGTAGAATTTATTCTATGAGAGTCTAAGGAACATCGTGGTCTTAATTCTGAGCATACTAAAAGAAGTTTGTGTAAAGGGCTCACAGTGTAACTTCAGCTGTTAACCAGAGCTGGCTTCTCACCCTCACCCCTAGATCCCAGTTCCCATCGTTCTCTGTCCTTGCAGTGTTTGAGAAAAGGAATGTAACACAGCACTGCCGAGACCTGGTCAAGATCCTGAAGCAGGCAGAGGCACTAAATGAAAAGCTCACTCCACTGAAGCTCATCGATTCTTGGATGGGAAAGGGAGCAGCCAAGTTGAGAGTGGCTGGCGTTGTTGCCCCGGTCCTTCCCCGAGAAGACCTGGAGAAAATCATCACACATGCTCTCCTGCAGCAGTATCTCAAGTACACAGCCATTTGTCTTCTGTGTCTTCATGTTCCTTCCCTTGACTCCTAACTGGAGCAGAGTCAACAACTGTGCAGTTATTTGATGCGAAATATAGAAAACAGGTTACCTAATAATCTTAGACTTTGATTATGAAGTCAGAAAAGTTTAAAAAAAAAACCACCACCATGGTCCCCCCAAAAGCCCAACCTATTTTCCTTAAGGATTATATTTGTGTTGTTGTAGTGTATTTTTCAAAAGTGTTTCCTATGGCTCCTTCAAACTTTCTGCTTGGCTCCTTTCTTTTACAGAGAAGACTACAGTTTCACAGCTTACGCCACCATCTCGTATCTGAAAGTGGGACCCAGAGCTAGTCTCCTCAGCAGCGATGCCCATGCTGTCACCATGCAAGTGAGGAGGTCCACACAGAGCGGCGCCAGGGTAACTGTTCATTTTCAGTGTGTTCCAGTCTCTGGGCTGCTTTCCTCAAGGTGTCTACTAGGGTTGGTTGGACAAAAAAGCTATCAGTTTTCTTCCTGGGTTTTGATTTGGGACAGATAAGTAGTGGAGGGCTGTAGACTGTCTCATTGTAGAGGTGGAGGGCTGTAGACTGTCCCATTGTAGAGGTGGAGGGCTGCAGCCACTTAAAGTGTGAGGGCTTAAGTTTAAAGTTTAATTCTGTGAAATGCTTCCCTGATAATACTGGGTGGGACCCTCTGGTTAATAAGTCTCTGCTGGGTTCAGTAAGATAGCTTAGTAATGAAAGTCCTGTTTGCTGTCCGTGTCAGCCTGAGCTCCATCCCTGGAACCGATTCCTGTGAGCCGGCCTCTAATGGAGGGGACACTCTCTTACTCTGTGTGCTGTCCTCTGACCCCTATGGTGTGCATATATGTACACAATAAATAAATAATCAATTTTTAAAAAACATGAAGGGTGTCCTCCAGAGGTTGCAAGCCACTGTTGAGTCTGTGCTGCGGCAGCCTCGGGAACTGCATGTCCTCTCCAGGGTTTTTTGTTTTGTTTTGTTTTTTGTTCAAATATCCCTGTTTTATTTAAGACAGTTGCCCATATTTGAATAGGAATTTGTAGATAGGGACCAGACCGCATAAGGAACTGACTGATACACAAGGGGGATTCTGAGACTGGAAGGCTCACAAGAAAGCTGATCAGCTGAGCCTTCCTTAACAGGGTGCTGCTTTGTCATTCTGCCGCAGGCTGCATCACCTGAAGTCTGTCAGTCGGGGCATGCAGAGGAGAAAGGAAAGAGTTCAGGTGACGTCCAGAAGTCCACAAACAGGCTTCAGCCATCTGGGGCTAAGAACACAGGAGCTAAGAAAAGGAAGCTGGATGATGCCTGAGTGTCACCTAATCTTGCACAAAATAAACGTTTCCGTATATTTATGTCTAGATAATTTTTATGCTTAATTTTTGAAACAATTTTGTATTTTATACACATAAAACTATATATTCAGGGCTTACCTGAAGATGTGAGAATTCAAGATCATTTGAAAATTTGAGATCAGGAATTATATTTTATAGTGTACAATAATGAAAAATACATCTTTTATGCAAAGTTGTTAAGTGTGATATATTTGAGGTTAAGTCCATGTAACTGTCATAAGCTCATATGACTTGCTAGTTTTCTAGTGTGACTCCCTTTAAAGCAATACCATGCTGACATAGGCTCACCCTTCCAAGATGATGCCATTTTAGGCGGAGTAATGCAGATGATTTCTGACTGGAAGAGCTGCTGTTTTCGCTCAGATGGAAACAGTCAGTCACCAGGACCAGGGGTGTCAGCAAGAAGACCCGGCACATTCTAAGTAAATCAAGACAGCAAGCCTCCTGAAGCACTGGCCTTATTCTGATGTTCAAGCAAAGAAGGATCTGGTACACGAGTACATTTGTGTGAGTCAAGGTTTATTGTCAATGCTGTATTAGGAATGTTCACCTGCTAATTAGTCATTAAACTGAGTTCACCATGAAAGTTCGTGACTCCTTACAACCAGGAATCTAGCTTCTGCATTCTTGATTTGTGGGGCCATTCACGTGGTGCAGGTGTTAGTTTTCCCAATTTGTTTCTTTTCTCCTTATTTTGAAGTTACTATTCCTGAAAAAATTCTAATGTCAGTCGAAATAATCCTCTATGTCGATATCCGGATCCAGGAGACCCTCTCCATATGATGAAAGGTCCATCTGGTTTAAAATTAAATTTTCAAATGTTTCCTCTAAATCAGTTTCACCAATTAAGACAGCTCCCATCATGCGTCCATTCTGCATGACGACTTTGACATACTCTTGTCCTCTGGTGCACCTCAGCATTAACTCGTGATCTGAGCCTAGGCCTTGTGCATTGTATTTTCCCAGCAGCACAACCTGCATGAGGATGAAAAGGTCATTTTTTTGGAGTAGTTCCTTCCAACTCCCCACAGATAACATAATAACCAGTTATCTGGGTCATGTAGCTTAGACAGAAAAAACAAAACAAAACAAAACAAAACAAAAAAACTATTCTGTAGTTTTGCAATGGGAGGGGCCCAAAGCACGCATTTGAATGGCATGAACATACTCTGTAGATGACATTGCCACAGTCTACAGTCACATTAAAAATCTCATCATTAATATGTTAACACTGACAGCAGAAAATATATGTGGATGATAATGCTACCCAGTCTTTAAAAATGTTGGCGGTGTCTACACACACACACAAAGTGAACCACATTTTCCTGGAGTCATTGCTTAAAGATTTACTATGCAACTAAACCAGACCCTTCCTCAGAAGTGTAGGTATGTTTTCTCTTTTCTCTTAGGTCTAGTTTAGGAAAGAGACCTGTCTGAGAAGGGAGAGAACTAAGAATGGTAAACATCTCTCAGAGCTCCTGGTTCTTTCCTGGTGTGTGTGTGTGTATGTGTGTGTGTGTGTGTGTGTGTGTGTGTGTGTTTACATCATGGGTGTGCAGGTGCCCATGGGGACCAGAAGAGGGTGTTAGACCTCCTGTAACTGGAGTTATAGGTGGCTATCTAAAGTGGGAGCAGAGAACTGAATTCACATCTTCTCAAGATACTCAATAACCGCTAAGCCATCTTTCCAGTCCCCCAAATATCATTTTTGATAACAGTTTAAACCATAATTATTTGAGAAAAGAGCCACAGTTGCCATACTTTCAAGCAAAAAGAGTATTCATTCCCTTAACCATCTTACCTTATAGTTAAAAAATTTCGTGACGTGAGCAAACAGTTCAAAGCTGAAATCCATGTCGATTGACTGTCCCAAACTAGCTGCAGCCATGCACTTGGCTGCATACCAGCCCATCTGCCGTGCCTGGGTCCACAGTCTCATCTGAAATAGTGGAAATGGTACTTTATATTACTTTTGGTTATCATATGAATAAAAACTATCATCCATGTGTGTGCATGTATGGGCACATTGGGGAGCATGAATGTGAGTGCATGCATGCCATGTGCATGTATGAATGTCAGTGGACACCTTGAGTCCATGCTTGCTTTCCACTCTGAGGTGGGGTCTGTATCTTAGCTGGCCTCCTGACTGTTAGGAGGCATGCTGGGTTATAGTAGCTGATGATGACTCCAGCTTTTACTTAAACTCTGGCCTCCAGGCTTGTGTAACAAGAGCTGTTATACCCGCTCTACTCCATCTTCCCCACAGTTTGTCTTAGAAATTCCCTTATGTGTGCTTCCAGTGACTTTGGTCCAGATCGTGCTATCTTTAGTGGTCACAGTGAACACCAGTCAATATGACTGCATCACAAACATCATAATAACTTAATTAAGTTAACAGTTTTATGCCAGGCCATATCCAGAGCCATCCTGGGTACAGGCCATGGGTTGAATACACCTGACAGGAATTCATTGAACCTGAAATTCCCGTAAGTCTGGATTGTGGGTGATATAAAGCTAATTGTTTTTCATGCAAATCAGAACATAGAAATACGAAATTCACTCAGAATAAGGGATATCTGCTTATTTTGAGCTGTTGTTCCCTTGTATTAGATTATGACATAAAGTTATACTTTGTCCTTGCGGGGTTAAGCAGAAAAGGTAACCCCACAACTCTTTCTAATTAAATGCATTTCCATCTACTGCAATATGAAATGACTTTAAAGTGGGAATCTGTTACTCGTCCGCAAACCACCAGTGATGGCTTCCAGCTGAAGAGGAGAAAAGCTGAAACAGAAACTTGGGTTCACTGGTAGCAACTGCTTTATTTTCACAGGGAATTGGATAGACACATGGTCATAGGTGCAGGCTCACCTGCTGCCAGACTGGGCTCGGCTGCCAGCATGCAGTACAGATGTCTCCAGCAGCATAGATGTCGGGAAGTGATGTGCGCATCTGGTCATCCACTTTCAGGCCGCCATCTTCTCCTAGATCAAACTAAACAGTTTGTCATTAGCATTAGGATGACAAAAACAGAAAGTGACTTTTCATTCTAATGAGCAAGTCAAGCCTGGACATGTTAACCAAGCTCTGATCAGAAAGAAAAGCAGCCACTGAGTGTAGACACCTGGCCAGAATGTCCAGGGATTCACTTCTACCCAACAGACTCAATAAGTCCCAGAATTTTAATATCAAAAATATTCACTAGTCATGTTTACCCCAACCCCAATCAGAAGAACATTCTTCAGCACTTCTAATGCTAAAATGCTAATGTAACAATCTGTAAGATTTACTCTGAGAATTCATAAGGGCAGTCTCTCATCAACCTTTAGATAAACAAATTGGACATCTTTAGATAATAGTTAAACTAGATTGTAAGTATTTAGGGATGCTAAGTAGAAGAGAATACTGTAAATCAAGTCAGACATCAGCCACAGTGTTGCTCCCATCTTAGGTTACAGTTAACTAAAATGATGACTGTTTGAAAGGTGGATATGATAAAGATTAGGAAGTGGACAGAATTCACCTTACATTGTTTCCGTGGAGGAAAGGGTGTACATTTGGCATGACTCCCGTAGCACTGACAAGGAAATCACAGCCATAGATCTTCCCATTGGTTAGTTCCACATACACAGGCCACACTTCTTAAAAGAAAAAGAAGAGAATTCAATTCTCAAGTGTCATCTTGAGCAGTTACCCTCAATATCGTGTGAACAGAACAGAAACAGAAAGGGCGGGGTTTTAGGACACCTCTTGACTACCCAAGGTCCTCTGTCTAGGACAGCTGAGTGCAATGACATTGTTTTGTGTTTGGCAGCTTCAAAAGTATAGTGCTCTAGGGGGCTAAACACTGTCTTTTGGATGTAGGCAGAGACATTAAGAGTAAATTTAAACTGATGATCATTTTCTAAATTAATTGTGAAGCAATTTGATTAGTATTTCATGTCAATCAGCATTTAATCCTGCTCTTCTTCATGTTTCTCCTCACTGTCCACAACCCCAACTCTACCATTCTTTTTCCTAGAAAAGACTAGAAAATTCTAGAACATTAGCAGCCTAACTGCAGTGTTGGTAATTCACGGACTGTGCCTGGAGGAGTTCTTAAGTGGTGTAGAATGAGACCGGGCATCTGCACTTAGTCCCAAATGCAGAAATTTAAATTTGATCTAGAAGTTATGTTCCTTACAGTTGTGTTACTTATGAAAGCTTCTATTTTGTTTTTATCTGTGATATACTGACTAACTCACTAGGTCAGGTTACAATGGTCCAAATAGTGTGAACCCAAATAAAAGGGAAAGCCTCATAACATGGAATTTACTAGAAAATTTAGCCAAGAGCAGTGAAATAAGGGCCTGAAGTTAACTAATAGTTTCTTTTGACCAATTTTTATATGAAAATGTGAGTTTAAAATATAACACCAGGCAATGGTGGTGCATGCCTTCAATCCTACCACTGGGGGGTGGGAGGGCAGAGGGAGGCAGAGGCAAGCACATCTCTGAGTTTGAGACCAGTTTGGTCTACGAAGTGAATTCCAGGACAGCCAGGGAGGCGCAGAGAAGCACTGTCTCAAAAAATTTATGTATATGTATATGTGTGTGTGTGTGTGTGTGTGTGTGTATAATGATTAATTTAAGGAACAATATTTTTTTCCTTTTACCTTTATCAACTGTAACTGACTTATGCTGATCCTTTGGAAAAGCCAAGGGCTTTTTCTTCATAATCTTAAACTCCTCTTGAAGGTAGATTTTCTTGACTTCACATCTGGTTTCAATGTGAATACTGTGTGAAAACTGGACAAAATGAATACTGGTCAGCACAGTCCAGACAGTGCCTGCTGAGACACGGATATTGTAGTGTAAGTACAGCACGCTGATGCTCCCAAACACGCCTCTCAGAGTCTGTGTGCAAAGGTGAGCAGAATCAATCCAGCACTTGAAATGCCAAGCATGACGTGACAAGTGGAAGAGGCAATCTGGAAGTCCACGAAATTCTACACGGTTTCACTGCGGTATGGCCAGCACGCCAAGGGGGCAGCAGGCAGCAATGTTCGCTAAAGGACTCTTAGAACCCTGAATGTTAAAACTACAAACTTAGAAGTCCCAGGAATTCTGGAGAAAATGATTTCACACTATTCTTATCCCCAGACTCTGTTTAGCCAGCTCCCCTTCTACCCACCAAAGCCTGAAAAAGTTTCAGTGCAAATACAGACACATTTATATTCTTACAATATTTGAATGACAGCAATTTTGTAACTTAAAAAATTGAAAGTATCTATGAAGTGAAAGCAAGTTACCTACTTACTCAATGAAAATATGACATACTTGTTTTGACTCCATCTAATAACCCTTGTAAGCACTTTGTCAGGGTGTTGCAAACATCAAAAGGACCTTCAGCAGAAGACTGAGAACTGTGGTTTATCCCTGTAGTCTGCAGGTAGACATCTCCAGCTCCGCAGTTAGAAGGAAATATTCGCTATTTTGGGTGGGCATCTGGGTCAGTGGGTTTGAAGACCTTTCCTACATGGTATATTTAAATTCAGGTGACCCAGAGATTTAGCATTTGGGTGGGTGGCATTGGTTTATAGAAACATACCTCTTCTGTTCCTTTCAGATCCAAGCCTCCATGCCAGTCTGGTCCAAGGGCACTGCCCACATTCTCAGCTTTAGCTTTGGTTCTGTTTTCCTTTTTCACTCCTAAGAAATGAACTCAGATGATTTTAAAATGGCTGGACAGAGACCCAGTTACCTCTGAAGCCTTTGGGCAACGTCCTGATTCTCAGGCAGACATGCAGCATGGTGACACATTAGCTGCTTTGTTCATTGAGTGTTCTGTACAGTGACAGAATGAGTGACCTTTCACTGACACTTGTGTAAGCACCCAGTGTGTCTCAGGGTTACACACTTGCCAACTTAAGAGTATGAAAATTAGCTATTAGAGTCTAAATTCTGTCACTTTGTAGCCTCTCCAAAACTTAGAAAATTCACTTAGAATTTTATGAGCCCAAAGCTTGTTTGAGGTCTATTAAATATAAAGTAATGAGTATTGTTCTCAGCGGATTTTGTAGAAAGTAGTCTTGGGCATTGCTCAGTTGTAGCAACTGCTTGACAAGATGCAAATGGCTTGGTTAATTCTCTTAATTTAAAATTCCTATGTGTAGGGGCTGGAGAAATGGCTCTGAGGGTAAGAGCACTGGCTGCTCTTCCAGAGGTCCCGAGTTCAATTCCCAGCAACCACATGGCTCACAACCATCTGTAATGAGATCTGGTGCCTTCCTTGCCAGCAGTACATTGTATGCTTAATTAATAAATAAATGAAATCTTTAAAAAAATTCCTATGTGTATTAAATGTCTATTTTTTATTTTAAAATAACTAAGAAAAAGTTGTTCAGATTTTGTTTTGAGATTGGATCTTACATCATAGCCCTGACTGGCCCAGAATGCACACACAGCCTGCCACTGACTTTTGTGTGCTGAGATTAAAGGCGCATGCCATCATACCCTTTATACATTTCTTTTTATTTCTGGTGTGTGTGTACGTGTACTTTGCCTGCATGGATGTCTGTCTACCACTTGTGCTCTTGGTTCCCTTGGAGGCCTGAAGGGAGTGCTGGACCCCTCAGAACTAGGGTTACAGATGTTGTGGGCATCCTTGTGGGTGCTAGGAATCAAACTTGGGTCTCCCGAAAGAGCAGTGGTGTTCTTAACTACTGAGTCATCTCTCCAGCCCCCAATATATTTTCTAATCTGAAAATTTCATATGGGACAGTATGAACAAGGAAGTCAAGACCATGAGGGGCTCACCCACTGAGACAATGTGCCTGAGCTAAAGGGAGCTCACCAACTCCAACTGGACTGGGAGTGAACAAGCATGGGATCAAACTAGTCCCTCTGAATGTGGCTGACAGCTGGGGCAGACTGAGGGGCTAAAGACAATGGCACTGGGATTTGTCTCTACTGCATGTACTGGCTTTTTGGGATCCTACTCTCTTTGGATGTATACCTTGCTCAACCTGGATATAGTGGGGAGGGCCTTGAACTTTCCACAGGGCAGGGTGCCTTGTCCTCTCTTAGGATTGGAGGAGGGAGAAGGGAGGGTGTGTGAAGGAAGTTGGAGGGGAGTGGGAGGAGGGGGGGAGTGGGGATTTGGATTGGTAGTTTTTTAAATAAAATAATAAAAAAATAAAAAAAGACATAAAAGTAAATATCCATGTTCCTGCCCCCTAAATACTGTTTACTGAATTTTCTTATAGTTAAAAATTAGTTTCATCCATGAATGAAGAAATAAGCCAGATATTGCACTTACCTTCAACAGTATATATGGTTCTTCTATGAGCAATTTTAGCCTCTGATTTTTCAGACATGAGCTTGGAAATCAAAAACTCTGCTGCGCCTGCGTCAAAGAAAGTATTCCCAATGGCTTTATCCTTTATGGCCCAAATCACTTCACAGCCTTCAATTTCATACCTAGGAAGAATGTTACAATTTCCTGTGGAAAAGTTAGGGAAAAAAATCTCTGCAAATAATGACTGTCTTGTGCAGCAGAAGTAAAAGACAGAAACTATAAACGGGAGTGTAGTTCACTTTAAGGACAGTAAGAGTTTAGCTGGGCAATGGCAGGTGGATCTCTGTGAGTTCAAGGCCAGCCTGGTCTACAAGAGCTAGTTCCAGGACAAGCTCCAAAACTACAGAAAAACCCTGTCTCGAAAAACCAAACAAACAAAATAAGAGTTAAAGTAGAATACATACTAAAGCAAGTTTATCAGCTTTACAGAAAGAACCCAGTGATGACATGTACTGAGTACTACATAACATACATCACAGTGACTGTCCTCTCAGTGTTTGGTGGACAACACAGACATAGAAATGTGCTCCAAGGGCTCTAGGGTACTTTCTGGCTGTGATGTAAGCAGTGACAGATGTATGTATGTATGTATGTATGTATGTATGTATGTATGTACGTACAAACAGATGATATGACATAAGGGCACTGAAAACACTGCTTCTTTTGGTGACTTTCCTAGATGCTCATGTAAGAAGGTTGGAAGGAGGTTTGTATGTAACACCTTCATGCAGTTATAAACAACTACCACCTGCTTTAAATTCTCTCACCCAGAACATCTAGCTAAAGAGATCCCATTCAGAAAAAGGTAAGAAATGTGAAGGGAAAAACACAGGCCTTAGGAAAGCAAGCTGGCTCTCACCATTCACCAGCTAACCAAGCTCCCAGCATGTTATTTATCTAGGTTTGGACACTAAGAATGCTGTGTGCATTCCACCCGCTCCCTGATGGACATTATCATTCAGACAATTATGAAATTTTGCAGAGACTTTCTGCTTTCAGTAAAAGGTTAAGGTAAAACTAATGTATATGTGGACAATCTTAAACTGGATACACAGCCCTCTCCTCCTATGTTGTAAAAGGAGCAGAGGGCCGCTTTCCACCACTTGGCTCCCGGCTAGCTTTACCCAAAATAATTACATGGAAACTGTATTCATTTAAACACTGCCTGGCCCGTTATATCTTGCCTCCTTTTGGGTAACTCTCACATCTTGCTTTAACCTATATCTAGTAATCTGTATTGCCACTTGACTGTGGCTTACCAGCATGAGTCTAACCAGCATCCGCCTTTGAGAGAGGAGCCATGGCGTCTACCTGACTCTGCTTTCCTTCTCCCACTATTCCTTTCGGTCTACTCCGCCTATCTAAGCTGCTGTCCCATCAAAAGGCCAAGGCAGTTTCTTTATTTAACCAATGAAAGCAACACACAGAAAGAAGATCCTCCTACACCACTCCTACCACAGGACACTTGGATTTTTCAATAAAGAGTGTAACATATTCTTTAACATTTAAAACTTCCATTGTTCTCTCATGTGCATCATGTATGTAGGTGCATGTGTCAGAGCATGCACGTGAAATTGGTACAACTTTATGGAGCCCATTAAAATTGTTTATTTTTGTGTGTCTGTGTGTAAGCATATGTATCATGGTGTGTATGTGGAAGTCAGAGGACAACACTGAAATTAGCTCTTCCATCTTTATACGAATGGGTTTTCCCATTGCTATGGTATAAAGTACTGCCATCTTTATTTGTAGGCTGACAGGATGACTTTTCAAGACAAATTACTAGTCAGATGATAGACAAAGGTTTAGTGCATGTGACTCTACAATACCTGAAGTCACATTCTGATACACGGGTAAGACTCCAGTGCCCCATCCAGGCCAATGAACACTCATAGTCACCAAGTTTCTGCTTACTGGGAGGACAGCTGAGTTGGTCCTTCTCAGGCTGTATAGCATTGCTCATCAGAAAAAAGCAGAGAACATACTTGCGGGTAACATTTCATATCTCACATTTAAGCATGCTTATGAAATGCTTTTCTTTTTATAATCTGGAAATCTTTGTATTCCATTCATACTTCTAGAAGTAATGTCACAGCATACAATAATGTGGCATAGCATCCCCATGACTGACTAGCAGGCCACATTACATCTGTAATCATGAGAGACTCCTGGGCTAGCTCTCCCCAAAGAGTACCCACTAATTCACTCCCCGTAATGCTAACAGGGCTCTCCAGGAGATACCAAAGCATGGTGTCATCACAGACGGAGCTATTCCACTTGAGAAACCACTCTACAGAAATACATTCCAGGTATTATGACTTTATGAAATTATGGAAATTAGTTGTCATGTGTCTTTGGAAGGGACAGCATCAAACTGCCTTTGGAAGATCAGCAGGACAGTAACTGAGATAAAGTAACTGAGGGGACAGCATCGGCCTCTGGAGTATGGAATGGCACAGAACGAAGGGGTTGCCTGTCACTTTTCATCATGAGTAATGACTCAGATCACAGAATGAGGAGCAACATGGTAAGACACCTTCCTCCCACCAGAGCTTGCCAGACAAAAAGCTGTAAGTTAACTCAAGTAATAATCACCAGTCTCCAAAGGACATCAACAAGGAGTTAAATGCTGTGAGATTCTGAGCAGGAAAAAGATTTCATACCCATTGGATGCTTCTGGAAGTAGCTAGAGGAACATGTGCGATCCCTCTTCACTTCTCTGCTCAGCTCTGCTTTTGGGTGGACTCTAGTTTCCCTGCATAGCACAACTGCCACAGTCATCCGAGGGATCACCACCCTTGTGCACAGGTGCCCAGTGGGGTGGCTGTCCTCTAAAAGACAGGTAAGCCAGGCTGGCAGTTGGGATGGATTTCTTGAATACTTGAGATTTCCTAGTTTAGACTCAAATTTGTTTTGATTCCAAGTTGGTTTGGACCAAACTTTCTAGCACGAAAACCATTCACTCTTCTTGTCAGTCATGGCTTGCAGACAAAACTCCTGAGGAAACTGAGTCTGTCCCGCAGCTTTCAGAGCAACATTTCTGTGTCTACGGAACTTGAAGTATCTTAAAATGAAAACACTTATATTAATGTGTTCTCAAATATTTCTCCAGACCTGGGAATATCACACATTCAATCAGCATGACAAATGCTGGGTTTTGCCACCTGGACAGGCGATGCATGAGCAGCACATGATGGGTAGTAGTGATTACTAATGGCACGCACATGTACACATGTAGATTATTAGACAGTGCCCAAACACAGAACACATCATGAGTCAGACCAGCCCAGGTCAAACACACCCTACACCCTGTATATTTAGAGGAATATTTCTGCAACTTGAGTTATACAAGAGTTAAATAGTAAGGTGGGTTTTCTCTTTGAAAGCATATGGGAAAGTGTGTATATTTCTCTTGGCTTTTTAAGATGTGTTTTCTCGTCTGCCCAAAGCATCATCATTTTTACAATATCTGTGGTATAAGAGACACACTTACACCAGCTCAAGCGCAATGCCACCATTCCCGACGATCATTATCCTCTTGGCTTTTGTAAGCTGTTTCTGAAATTCCTGTGTTAGGAAGAAACAATGAGGCAGCATTTTGTCAGAGTAGAGGCATCGCCGATACTATTCTAGACATGGGTGTTTTACAGTTTACAGTGGGACAATAAAATAAAATGTAATGCCCTGTCCCCGGACACTTCCTCCCAATTGGCATTAAGGCCTCGATTGCTTCCAGGTGGCTGTGACAGCAGCACCTCTTGCCTTTGTGTCATCGTGTGCTGTCTGCATCACCACATCCTCGCGCTTGACTCCACATCTGTCTGCGGCAGGCTCCATTACAGGCCTCCCTGCAGTTCCTCCCTTCTACAGCTCCCAGGACTGAGACTCAGGGCACATGGATTAGGAGTCACTGGTCTTAGCAGCTCCTAACAAGATGACCTGGGATCAGCTACTTAACTTTCTATGTTCCATGGTGTCCACTCCCAGTGTTTGTGTCAGGATGATGGGACACGTATGGGACACGACATATACAAAGCTTAGAGTAGCAGAGGGAGAATTCCTAACAATTCAAGAAATGTTATCATTTTATGACAATGTCTCTTGCACCACCTTCCCTCATGATTAAGATGAACTCAGAGTAGCCTGTGGTCCTCCTGGCACTTCACAAATACAGGTGTCCCTTGCTTTAGAATGACTTTAGAACAAAGAATTCATTTGTCCCTTCTAAGTAACTACCATCATTAACTTCACTTAAAAACATACATCACTGACTAAAACTGGCTTAAATTCTACAAGACAAAACCATGAAGTTTTAATTTGCTGCTCATAAAGGGTCAGGCCTTATAGAAGCTCTATAAAGAACATAGACACAGAGATTAAAAAGCACACATTTAAACCATACATGGATATAACCAAAGGCTGCTCATTCCTATCCTAGCCACCTAGACCCGAATAATCCCAGAGAAACTATATTAATTACAACACTGTTTGGCCTATTAGCTCAGGCTTCTTCTTCTTTTTCTAAATTTATTTATTAATTACATATACAAAGTTCTGCCTGCATGTATGCCTGCATGCCAGAAGAGGGCATCAGATCTCATTACAGATGGTTGTGAGCCACCATGTGGTTGCTGGGAATTGAACTCAAGACCTCTGGAAGAGCAACTAGTGCTCTTAACCTCTGAGCCATCTCTCCAGCCCCTAGCTCAGGCTTCTTATTACCTAACTCTTACATCTTAAATTAACCTATTTCTATTAATCTGTGTATCACCACAAGGCTGTGGCCTACCAGTAAGGTTCAGGGGTGTCTGCCTCCTTCGGCAGCTACATGGCATCTCCCTGACTCTGCCTCTCTCTCTGTAGATCTCTTCTAGCCTGGCTCTATCCTGTCCTGCCATAAGCTAAAGCAGCTTTATTCATTAACCAATAAAAGCAACACATATACAGAAGTACTTCCCACATCACACGGGTACTGAGTAGTCACCCTAGAATAACCATACTTGGGGTGCACTGAGTGGTCACCCAATAATAACCATACTCGGGTGCACTGAGTAGTTACCCTAGAATAACCATACTTGGGGTGCACTGAGTGGTCACCCTAGAA